GCCCCCCCCCCCCCGAATATGGGGCTGATCGGCCTGAAACTTGGCATTCTTTCTCTTCACTTTCATACGTAACGAATCACAGCAAAAAAAGTCCCGGATTAGGTAGGGCCGGAAACGGACCAAATCGCCGTCCCTCATTTGCCTGCTAGTAGTTAATGTACACAGTACTTGGAATGAGAAAAATTATATGCAAGCTAAAATAGCACCAAAAATTGTCTCTAAGGAGAAATGGATTGCATTTTGCAAAAAGGAACCACAAGCCTTCTAATGTCGCTAAGATCGTGCAACATTTTCACCTTGCAAATAGAATCGGATCATCTATACTAGACCAGTTTCATCTTTATTACCATTAAATCATGAATTTAAGGCAAAAATTACTTTCGCAAATTTAATTATCTTCATGATTTGCAAAGAATTTAAGTAGCACAATCTTAGCAACATTGGGATGTTCTTGGTTCCTTTTTTGCAAAATGCAATCCAAATAATATTTCCTTCTATAGGGCCCTCTAAATCACGTTTTTACCTTCTCATTTCAAGTCGTATCAAGTTTGAACCAAAAAAAAAGACGTATTAAGTCTTATGTCTCCATGATACGCGATGTTAAGGATAAAGTTTAACGACTATTACAGAAGATTTAGTTTACGGTAATGATAAAAATTACGTTCAACCCAAGATTCGAACAATATGACTTGAATAAATAACAGGAATTCATTGATTTTTCATGTGAACAGTTCATAATGTATTCCTTCCTCCTAATCAAATTTTTTCCCTAAAAATGTTCTTGTTCGTGGATTTTCTAACAATTTTGATGATATGAACTCCTCCCTTCTTCAGTAACTTTATCCTTTCATCTAATATTTATTCTCATTTTTTAGGCCCTGGAATCAAAATTAGCATCATGTAATCGAAACAGCCCTAGACCAAGCCTCACAACCAGCAGTGACTCAAGAGATTCTTTCCGGTGAGTACCTTTTCCTGTTTTCATCTAACTTAATTGAAACTTATCAAGAACTAGATGGAAGGATGGGATGGGATGGGATGGGATGGGATGGGATGGGATGGGATGGGATGGGATGGGATGGG